TCAGCAGGCACTTTGGGGAGAGGGAAACTATGTATTAGCAGACCATGATATGAAGCCAGCACCGGGGACACACACACACACACACACACACACACCATCTGTGTTCCGTGTGGCTCAGTGGTAGAAGTCTCACCTTCCTTGTGGGAGATCCTGGGTTCGAGTCCGGATCAGTGCACCTGAGGCACACCTATCACCCACTGTCTGTCTGTCTGTCTGTCAGTCAGGGGAGGCCTGTTGCGATGATGCTGAACGGGCATCGGAGTTTTCAGACGAAGCCCGAGCAGAGCATGAGGAATGAAATGAAGAAGGGTCAAGGGATCTGCTTATGAATAGCCCGTCAGTGGGGCCACCCTGCTGGGCATGGGGTCTCCATGAATGGACCCCACGGAAAGGCAGTAACAAGATCAGTGCGGCGCTGAAAATGCCTCCCTGAGCACTCCGCCCACCCCTCTGCTCAAGCTCCCTCGCTCGTGCCCAATGATAGCCCCTGGAATTAGGTGCCCTCTCTTCAGGCTTGCACTTCCGACCCCGCCCACCGTCTCCATCTCCATCCCGCAAGCTGCCCTCCAACTGCGGGGGCCAGCCCGCCCCGCTCGCTGTTCCCGCGCACCTGCACCGAACCAACAAAACCAGACACAGCCTCTTCCAGAACCAAGCTCACCGTTAATCGCTTCTCGCCGACGCAGAGACCCTATATATAGGACCGAGTGGAACTGCTCCGTGGGGGTTTCTAAGGCTGTCACGTATGATGGAAGCCGACGGCCACACCTTCCCTTCCCTCCACCTTTTTGGTGGCTGGCAGCTGAGCGCCGAACTGCGCCGCCAGAATCCAATGATCTGCACCTGCGGCGCTTCACTGCGCCACCTGCGTCCAGTTACCGGCACCCGCACGCTGCCGCCCACACCTGCCCGCCTGCCCACCCCGGCTGCGCTGTGCTGCGCTGCGTCTTCGCAGCCCCCAGCACAAGTTTTCTTCCCTGCTGCGACTGCCCGCCTCAAGTCGGCACCAGCCTGCGAGCGAAGCTGCTGCCTTCCGAGCAGGTCCGCGGTGCGACCGGAGCCGCGACCGACGGCAACGACCGGCATGAAGTTATCTCTCCGGAGCGCACAACTCGGCCACACTCGGAGGGGCCGGTGGGGCTGACCCGGAGGACCGGACCCCGGAGGGTCTCCCTCCTTCTGGCTTTACAAACTGCCCAATGCCCGGCTGCGGCGGAGCCTCATTCAAGAGCCGTGGTCCAATCGTAAGGCTGGGGCGGGCCTTGGCGGAGCCCTGCTCCAATCAGAGGCGCGAGAGAGGCGGCACCCCGGCCGCCCGCCGCCCAATGGGAGCCGCGCCGGAGGCATGGCCGGCGGCTCCACGGGGATATATAGGCTCCGGCCGGGCATCCCGCGTCGGGATTTCTGGTGTTACTGGAGACTCGTAGCCTGTCTGTAGTCACCGAGCTTTGCCAATCGGAAAAACCATGGTGAGGCGGCGCCAGGGGTACAGCGCGGGGCTGGGGGCTGCGGCCTGGGGCCGCCGGGCAGTCCATGGGAAGGGCAGGCTGCGCGGGAACGCCGGGCCGTCCAGGGTGTGGGTGGGGCGCGGGGGTGCTGGGCATTAGGGAAGGTCCGCGGAGGGCTGGGAGCGCGCGGGGCGGGGAGGCCCCGCGCTGATTTTCTCCGAGAGGCGGGGGAGCCTATGGAAAAGTTGGGAGCACTTTGGGTGCCCCCGGGACCGTGGAGGATGAGTGGCCAGAACGTGTCCGGGGCGTCCCTGCGCAGGGCGCAAGCTGAGGGCGCACAGTCGCTGGACAGCCTGCAGGGGACCCGGACCCACCCTCAGTTTCTCACTCCGCGATCCCGGACAAAGAGGCGCCCGCCTCCCTTGCAGACCCCGCCTCCCTCTGAGGTCACACTCCCGCGCTGGAGACTGGACTTGGGAGTTAGCAGAGGCCAACAGGTTCCTCCTGTTCTGAGCCCGTTCCTTTAAATGCCTGAGTCCCAAACCAGACCAGGGGTTTCAGTTAAGCCAGGGGAAACACGTGCTTGGCTCTTTCTCCCCTCTTTGGGTGTTCAAGGACTTGGGAGGCGGGTGCGTCCCGGCCCCCCTATCCCATAAGAATCTATCAATTCCCCCATCTCTGTTCTGAGCCCCTCTAGAGGATCTGAGCCCATCTTGAGGGGGTAGTTTGTTTCTTCAGACCCTTGCTAACTGAGAAGACCCTCCGTGCATCAGGGAGGTGGACCTTCCAGCTGGACCGGTCAGGACGACCACAGAGAGGAGAGTGGACCTCATGGGAGGTCTTCTGCCCCCACTGTGACCTTGGGGTCAATCAGTCTACTGCAGGGGACAGGGACAGCTTATAGACAGGCAGTGGGTGGACTTTCCGGCTAACTCCAGACCTGAACTTAGAGTGTGCTTACAGGGACCTGTGCCTAGGAAGTCCTACTGGGCTGTCTTGGAGAGTAGGACTGTCAGTTTCCCTGGGGTGGCCCCCATGCGATGCACATTAACCAGGAGGTGAGTAGAGGCACTTCAGGAGAAAGGCCTAGAGATCTACTTCCTGCAGCCGCAGCAAACCGCTAGTGCGCGGTTCTCAGCTGCTGCCTTTGGGCTTGCATGGGTGGAATCGCCTGCATGGGCTCTAGATCCTTTTTGGATTTGTTTCTGAGTTTTCCCAAGCTGCCCCAGCCAGCAGAGGGGACTCCGTGCAGTGGAATTCGGCTCCATGCCTTCTGGTTTCCTTTGGTTCCCTAGTTCCTCACCCAGAAAACCTTGGCACTGCCAACTGTGTGCTTCAGCTCTGGGGAAATGAGGCCCTGGCGGTGCTTTGGCTTAGAGTCTGGAAAGGCCTGCAAAGAGCATCCAGATTTATCCGTGGTTGTGTTAGTTTGGTTGATGTTTTAAGTTTTGGCCTAGGTAACACTGTCAGCTTAAGCCTCCAGGCAGGCGATCTAGGGAATGCTCCCGAGACAGGCGTTCCAAGTTCCCCAGTGTCCACACACCCCTTATGGCGCATTCACTCTGCTCTGCTTCCCCTGCCAGCGTGAGTGTATTTCCATCCACGTGGGCCAGGCCGGGGTGCAGATGGGCAATGCCTGCTGGGAGCTCTACTGCCTGGAACACAACATCGAGCCCAATGGCACCATGTGCAGCAGCAAGACCCTGGGGAGTGGTGATGATTCCTTCAACACCTTCTTCAGTGAGACAGGCGCTGGCAAGCACGTGCCCCGGGCTGTCTTTGTGGACTTGGAGCCGGCTGTCATAGGTAAGTAGGGGTGGGGGTGGTATAGGATCAGGTTTCCCTCCCCTGGCCACGCCCAGGTTTCCTCCCAACTCCACCCAGTGGGGGAGCTTGGCCTAGTGGGAAGAAGTGAGGAATGCTGGGGAACGAGCAAGCCCCTGCCAAGGACAACACTGGGCCCACTGCTCATCAAACAGCTCCACCCGGGTCACCACCCGGATGGTGGAGTCTGGAGGGGAGGCTGCAGAGAGGGCGTGTCTGTCAAAGCTGAGACTTCAACTGAGGGTGACATTTCCTAAGGACCTGGGGGTGTGCATAATGGGCCCTGCTCAGGCTTCACGCAGAGAGGTGCCCTGATAGGCTGTGAGCTTGGCCTTCCATCCTTGGCTCCCAGGGGGCCTTTCTTCCCTTCTGCCACTGGCTGGCCTCAATTTTCCCCTTATGAACTGGCTGCCCCACCCCTATCTTTCTAAAGCCCTGGTTGTTGTAATGGGAAAAGAATGGGCTGAATTTGCCATTTTCTAACTCCATTTGAATTTGCTGAGTTCTAACTCCAGTCAACAGCTGATGAGATTTTCTTGGTCTTCCCCTCCAATTTCTTCCACCGGTTTCCCCAGCCACACACACACACACACACACACACACACACACACGCACAGGTGTCCCCACACACACACACCTTGCCCCTCCCAGGCCGAGGGGGGAGGGGCGGGGGACCAGATTTTTCACTGGGGCCTCTGAATGTCCCATGTCCACGTGGGAAGGCTTGGCACTGATGGTGCCTTGTGTCCCCTGGGGCGGGGAGACCAGCCTCGCTTACCTCTGCCTTCTTTCTTCCCCTCAAGATGGGGTAAGAACGGGCATTTATAGGCAGCTCTTCCACCCTGAGCAGCTGATCAATGGCAAGGAAGACGCTGCCAACAACTATGCCCGTGGCCACTACACTGTGGGGAAGGAAATCATCGACCTGGTGCTGGAGCGGATCCGAAAACTGGTGAGCAGGACCAGGTGATCTTGGCACCTGCACAAGGCCACCGTGTCTCTAACCTCCCTCCCTGCCTGGCTTGGGTGGCTGAACGGGTGCTGCCCAGAAAGGGAAAGCACTGCCCTTGCTGGCTCAGTTGTTGCATGGGCTTCCTCTAGGGGGCGCTGTGTGTCCTGGGTGTGAGTTAGACATCTGAGTGACCTGACCCAACCGGCAGCTTGGGGGCTCTGAGGTTTCTGCACTACCTGATCTCCATGTTTTGTGACGCCTGACCGTCCAAAGCAGGCCGCCTCTTCTAACTTTTATCCATCTCTGACCTCAGCAAGTAGCAGGCAGCTCAGCCTTGGCAGCTCAGCTTGCTGCCTTGGCAGAACTTTCCAGCTGGACGAGCCTCCTGCTCAGCGCTTCACGTTTCTCCAGTGTAGCCCAGGAAGGTGGCCAAGCCAGAGAGAGGGTGTTGGCATTGTTCCTCCAGGATTGCCCAGAGCAAGTAAACACTCTGAGGACCCAAGAGGGGCCCTTGGAGTGGGATTCAGTGCTCCCCACTCCAGGAATTAAACCAGTATCCCTTAGGGTTAGACCAAGGTGACCAGATTTTAACAATGGTAAAGCGGGACAAAAGCGGGACACCATTGATAAAACTCCTATCCTGGCGAAATAGCCACATGGCAGCCGAAAACCGTATACCCTAGCTTGTCGTGCATTCTTTCCAAAAATCAGGACTTTTTAAAACACCGCGGGAGACGGGAAAAATTGTTTAAAATCAGGACGTCTGGTCACCTTAGGCTAGACCCAAATCAAATGCACTGCCATCGAGTCAATTCTGACTCACCAGGACCCTGGGGGACAGAATAGAACTAACCCTGTGGGTTTCTGAGACGGTGACTCTTTTGGGGAGTAGAAAGCCTCGTCTTCCTCCCAAAGAGCAGCTGGTGGCTTCAAACAGCTAACCTTATAGTAGGCAGACTAACTCATAACCCACGACGTCACCAGGGCCCCTTTGAGATTGGGTTTGGGTCCATGTGTTGTGGTGTGCCTTGAGGCATTTCTGAGCCAGGGCACAGCTACAGAAGACTGGGGTGCTGGTTGAGCCCATGGGTTCTAAGGATCCAACCTGAGTTGGGGCTTGATGTTCTGGAGGTTCAAGAGGATACTGCCACCATTCCTGCCACTAAGTAACAAACCAGGAGCCCTGGGAGGGCCCAGTCTCTGCCCATAGGTGCTGACCCACCCCAACCAGTCACTTCCCACATTGTCAAAAACCATCACTCTGTGCCTAAGATGAATTGTACTTATTCATCCAGCGAGTTACACTTCAGAGCGTGTTTTTGTTTTAATGCCAAGGTGAATACAATGAGCATGAAGTCACGTGCTTAATGCTGTGTGTCACCTCCCACCCCAGACAGACCAGTGCACCGGGCTTCAGGGCTTCCTGATCTTCCACAGCTTTGGGGGTGGCACCGGCTCGGGCTTCACCTCCCTGCTGATGGAGCGCCTCTCGGTGGACTACGGCAAGAAGTCCAAGCTGGAGTTTGCCATCTACCCCGCCCCGCAAGTGTCCACAGCCGTGGTCGAGCCCTACAACTCCATCCTGACCACCCATACCACCCTGGAGCACTCGGACTGCGCCTTCATGGTGGACAACGAGGCCATCTATGACATCTGCCGGCGCAACCTGGACATCGAGCGCCCCACCTACACCAACCTCAACCGGCTCATCGGCCAGATCGTGTCCTCCATCACCGCCTCCCTGCGCTTCGATGGCGCGCTCAACGTGGACCTGACCGAGTTCCAGACCAACCTGGTGCCCTACCCGCGCATCCACTTCCCCCTGGTGACCTACTCACCCATCGTCTCGGCCGAGAAGGCCTACCACGAGCAGCTCTCCGTGGCCGAGATCACCAACGCCTGCTTCGAGCCGGCCAACCAGATGGTCAAGTGTGACCCTCGCCACGGCAAGTACATGGCTTGCTGCATGCTTTACCGTGGGGATGTGGTGCCCAAGGACGTGAACGCGGCCATCGCCACCATCAAGACAAAGCGCACCATCCAGTTTGTGGACTGGTGCCCCACGGGTTTCAAGGCAAGTTGTGGCAGGGGGGAGGGATATGCCTGTGGCTTGTGCCCTCCATAAGACGGTGGGGTGAAGAACAAGTGGGCGAGTGGGGGGGGGGGGGGCAACTTTGCTACTGTCCATTGCTGCCAGCTCTGACTTGTGACTCCCTGAGGTGTGATAGAACAAGTGGTCACCCAGTCCTGTGCCAGCTTTCGTGGCGGTTGGTACGCTCTGCGTGCATCGCCATCCTTGTGGCTGGTGTGGCAGGCCACCTCTCGGAGTCTCCTGCCACCAAACACCATGTCCTGCGCTAGCTCTTGTCTTCCCTAAGCCAGAACCATGGTGGTGCAGGGGGGTCAAGTGGGGCGTCTGACCCCACGGTCAGCGGTTTGAAAGCACCCGCTGCTCTTGGGGAGAAAGACGAGGCTTGCTTCTCCTCCTGTGAAGAGTGACCATCTCGGAAAGCCACAGGGGCAGTTTGGCCCTGTCCTGTAGGCTGCTACACATCGGTATTGACTCCAGGGCAGGCAGTGCGTTGGTGGCTCGATTTCGGTGGTGGGTTTCCTGAGGACAACGTACCTAGGTGGTCTCACCCACCTCTCTTCTGAGGAGCATCCTGGTTGTGCCTCCTCTACAATTTCGCTGGCATGCTGTCAACAGTGTTCTGCACCAGCGCCACAGTCGGAAGCCATTCGTTCTTCTTGGAGGCTTCTGGAACCCTTGGAGGCTGTAGGAGGTTTCTAACTGGGTAGATCTGAGCCTGTCTAGACTGTGGGCTCCCTGCCAGGGTTCTTCTACTTGAAAGCTTGCCTTTCTGAAAGAGAAAGCGAAGTTTGCCACTTCGCCTGGCAAACAGGCATTCCCGGACTTGCCAGTCAAGTGAGGGGCCGGGCGGGGAGATCCAATGCACATGTGCCAAGGGCTCCGTCCCATAGTAGGGCTCTGTCCCACAGTAGGACTCCTCCTCAGAAGGGAGGGCTGCCGGGAGCACAGCCGGGCTGGGCGCGTGCCCACTCAGATAATGGAGGAAGCATTCAGGTCAGGACTCCTTGTGTTGGTGTCTCTCTGAATGCAGTCTCTCCCTTTCGAAATCCTGCAGAAGAACTCTTCCATGCCCCATCCTTTTACTGGCCCGCTTTCCCAGAGGGTGCTTTAAGTTTTATGGGTTTTCTCCCAGGACAAGATTCCGGGAAGATGAAAGGTGGCCGTGGTGGCATTTGGGAAACCTACAGCTTCTCGTGCCTTGTTAACTGGCTGTGGATGAGTGGCCACAAAGGGAGGGGAAGCAGGGACTCCTGTGGTCTGAAAGATAATAACCGCTTGCTGGTATTGAGTTGTCAGCGCGGGAGCCAGGGACGCCAGCCTCGCTTCCTTCTCCATATTAGGAAGAGCTTCGCTGGCCCAGGAGTCGGGCCTCTTTAAGGCGGCGGCCAGCTTGCCTTCCCTCCTTTGAGGCGGCAGGACGCAGCTGGATGGTATTAAAAAAAAAATCACAAATCACTGACACTAAAGTGCATTCTGATTTACTTTGATGCTGGCTGAATATGAACCAAGGTTGAAGGTGGGTGGGATTTTGATCCAGTTGACGTTCTTCACCAGAAGTTTGATAATTGTTTACGTGATTGCTTTTCTAAAGCAGCGCAGAGTAGGGAGACCTTGCTCGGTCCCCGTCACCTGTGGACTGAACAGTTATCTCTACTGAGTTTTCCTCTACTTCTGTTTTGCAGTTCATTTCAGCTCAAAAACAGCTCCCTTGTCCCTGACATCTGAATGTCAGCATGCCTCCCGGGGGGCTCTTCTCCAAGACACACACGCGTGTACACACACACCTTCTTGTTTAAAACTTCGTTCTGATGTGAGTGCACAAATCAAGTCAGGATGCCTGCAAGCCTAGTGTTGCTGTCCAGTGACTCATAGTGGCCCTCTGAGAACAGGAGGGCCGTGGTCAGTCCTGCCTTCCCCAGTGAACACGCCTCCTGGGTATTCAAGGAGCCCTGGTGGTGTCAGGCTGGGCTGCTAACTTCAAGATCAGCTTTTCAAACTCAGAAAAAATGAAGCCTTTTGGTCCTGTAAAGACAGGCGGCCTTAGCAACACAAAGAGGCCCCTTCTCCCCTCCCTGTCCTATCCCTCGGTCGGCATGGGTCAGAGTTCAAACTTTCTCACTTGCCCCATGTGTTTTTTAAATCCCCAATCTAATCAAGGACCAGGCATTATACAAAGAGGCTCCAGGAAGTCTGTGGAAAGTGGAATGAAAAGATAATGGATTTTTCCCCATGACCATTTTGAAGCCCCGTTGTATTTGTCTCTGAAGTCTCTAGTCTCTTCACGGAAAGCAGCCCCTCTTTTCTTAAGAGGGATGTTTTCTTTTCTTTTTTTTTTAATCAATTTATTGGGGAGACATTTTCTTAAGGTCCAAACGTGAATATTTATTTGGAACGAGAAAGGGCATCATTGGAGAAATTCCAGCGATTTGAACAGCCGACATTCACAGCCAACCTGACTCCTGGCTTGTTGAAGGGGGTGGGGACCAGTCTTCCTTGTCCTGGAAGGTCCGAGTTCTGGCTTCCTCTGTCTCCATGTGGTAGTTTACATGTTTGCACCTGGGTTTCTTAGAGGGGAGCAAATGCCTCCCCAAGGTGACTGCCCCTTCTCCGGTGATGAGAATCCTCCGCACAGGAACGGAGGACCGGGTGCTAATTACTTCCTGTGTCTCCTCAGGTGGGCATCAACTACCAGCCCCCGACAGTGGTACCAGGAGGAGACCTGGCCAAGGTCCAGCGGGCTGTCTGCATGCTAAGCAATACCACAGCCATCGCCGAGGCCTGGGCCCGCCTCGACCACAAGTTTGACTTGATGTACGCCAAACGGGCATTTGTGCACTGGTATGTGGGCGAGGGCATGGAGGAAGGAGAGTTCTCTGAGGCCCGAGAGGACCTGGCTGCCCTTGAGAAGGATTACGAAGAAGTGGGCACAGAGTCTGTGGACGGTGAGGATGAGAGTGAGGAGTTCTAGGGGGTCCCGGTCGGTCTCCCCCCAGTTGCAGGCCTGTCATCCCTCTGTGTCCCCCACCTTGCTCCATAAATACAGTCACTGGACAGCAATATGGGACTCTGTGTGTGTGTGTGGCCCAGGCAGGGCCTTCTCTAACCTTCCCACCTCCGTTTCTACTGAGTTCAGGGCCGGCTGCAGGGGGTGGGGGGAGTTTGCTTAGCGGAGGGTGGACCCTGCTGTCCTTGTGTGTTGTGATTTGCTGCCACCGTGCAGTGTCCATGGACCCTCTTATCCCCAGGCCACCTCCAGGAAAGATAAGCCTTCTAGGGGTGCCCTGAAGGCCAGGCTGCCCTCGTGGCTAGAATAGGAAGTCTATCTCAACAGCAGAGCCTGAAGACTGGGTGGGTCCGCTTGACCCCCTCCTGAGAGCGCTTCTGTCCCAGCTGTGTGAGGTCCAAATCTATCATTTGGGGATCTCATCACAGTGCAGAGGCAGATTGCTTCTGCCTAGGGTGGAAATACAAGAGCTCCGAAGGGGGTGTGGGCAGAACGGAGGGTTAGAAGCCCTGTCTGGAAGAATGGGGCTGTTTACCTCCTGGCCAACAGAGGGCGCTAGAGGTTGAGGTCCCAGGTCCCCCTGCAGCGGCTGTGTCCTACACTGTGGGCCCCCCTGAGAAAGGCACAGGGCCTAAGAACTAGGGTTCCCTTGGGCGGGGTCTTTCTCCTGGGGCAGTGAAGAGCCGAAATAACTTTCCCACGTACACATGCCTTGGGGGGTTCCTAATGAGACGGTTCTCAGGACCGGCCACGACATCTTAGAGATCAGTGTATTAGCAAAATAGCCCGGCTAAACAATGCCCCTTTTAGCTTAACTTGGGTTCTTTTAAAGCTCTTGGAAGGGCTCCTCAGTTCAGGCAAGAGGAGCAGGTTTGTGTTCTCTTTAGAGAAGACCAATCAACTCGGGACCAGGTCCTGCCCGGACAAGGCCTTGGAGCAGAGCGCAGCCTGCCCCCGCCCCGCACTCCTAACCTAGTTGCTGCTCTCATCCGGAAACCAGCAGGCTGCAATGACCTCTCCGCTCCTCCTTTCCTTCTCCCTAGCAGTTCTTCCGTAGTTCAGCTTCGAGGTAAAGAAGCCATGCCTCCCCTCACAGGTGTATGTTCCAAACACGAAGGCTGTCCAGTGAGGGTTGGGACATCGTCTTATCCCTGCTCCCGGGACCCTCTCCTCTACTTAGATATTTGATACAGCAGGTCGGTTACAAATGGGGGAACAAGGCAGGTCGTTTGTTAGGCTGTGGTAGCAATCTTCTTTCCTGTGGCCCCCAACTAAAACAGAATGTGTGTCCTGTCATCCCACTCTCCAACTTGGCATCAACACGGGGCTGTTGGCAAAATGGAGGAAGCCCAGGAGCGCTCGCCTTGGCTGTTCTGGTCTGACACTGGAGCCGCCCGGAGTCTGGACAAGTATCCAACTTAGCAATGAGAATAAAGCCAGCGCTGTGGGCCATTTCTGGGCTGGGATCCTTTTGCAGATGAAGTTACTGCAGCTGGCTGCAGATGGACTGACGTTCCAGCCCTGGTCTAAGCCTAAATGACTGCAGCAGACACCATCCACCTTGTATTTATAACCACGGAGGACCCAAGAGCCCCGAGGAAGCGAGCTCCGTACCTTGGTCACAGCCACTACCCACTGACGACAGGGTTAGATTATTTATAGGGCAGAAGGGTTCTGGGGCTGGGAATCCAGGGAGGGACACAGAAGGGATTGGCCTGATGAGAGGGAGAGCTAGAGTCCTTCTGAGGGCCTTGGCCTGTGTTAAAGGTGCACTGCCATCATGTCAGTCCCAGCTTATTTTAAACCCTTGTGCCAGAGTGGGACTATGTTCCGTGGGGGGACCAGCCTCCCCACAACCGAGTGGTCTAAGGGGCGGTTTTGTAATTGAGGGTGTAAATTAAAGAGACATCAGACAGAAAGCAGGCAAGGGCTCACCTCTCAGTCATGACTTCAAGAGCCAGGTCCCGAACAGCAAGAGGCTGTAATGTAATCTTAAGAGTTTATATGAACTGGGGTATGCAGGCCATGCTAAGTACATACGTAACAGGAAGGGGTTGTACAGTAGGCATGCTCGTAACAGGAACGCACATGCGTGTCAGGAGGGCGGACTTTAGCATCAAGCTGTCAGCCTAAACTTGGTCCTGAGTTGGCTTGGCCCTGGGTGTCTGAGCTCTTCTCCAGGGGAACAACCTATGATCTTTATCAGAAGGGAGTGGGCCCTACTCAGGGCGGGACAGATAATGGGTTCTGATTGCCTTGAATGGCTGACTGCCTTCAAGCAGATAACCTTCGTGCTTTCACCTTCAAGTGTATAGTCAGTGACCATGTGCTTGCAAATAGCACCTTAGATATGGCATTACTATGAAGGGGACATCGTGGGGAGTAACTTTTACTTAGGAGAATGATTGGGACCCATCTCCAACCCACGAACATGAAGGTTTCCTCCACGGGAGCCTTGGCCTCCCAGACTCCTTAACGTATGAATGTTGGGTGTCTGTCCGCATGCCCTCATCCTGGTTGTTTCCCACGTTCTGTAGGATGTCCACTGACCAGTTTCCCAGCAGTGGGTTGCCAGGCTGCTCTTCTGTGGCACAAGTGGGTGGTATTGAACTGCCAGCCTCTTGGTTAGTATCTGAGTGCTTTGGCCATTTGTATCACCCAGGAGTTTCTATCTGGTGTGTATCGGATAGTCTTCAATAGAGTGCCTGGCCTCCAAGAATCCACAGGTGCTTTGGGGGGAGGCCTTAATTGTCCCCTTCTCTTTACGGTGCGGCCTCCCACTGGTGCCCGGTTTTCAGCCTGGTTCTTCACCTGCACCTGAGCTGTGCACCACAGAGCAGATTTGCTCTGTTCTAGAGACAGCCTCTTTAGAATGTCTCTGTCAGTTATGTTTTGGTTTTCTGCCTCTTTAAGGTCAAAGTTAGGCTCTTGGGCTTTAACTTATTCTTTCCTGAAGATGTTTAGTGAATCATGCTGTTCTCAGCTTCACCTCCCAGACTCCCAGACTCCCATTCCCTCAGCCTGTTGGAGATTCTAAGATACGGACACCTTGTGATTGCAGGCTTCCAGTCTTGGCTTGCGTGTGTAAGGAACCCGTCTGCTCACCAGCTTCCAAAGCCTTGCTTGTCGCTGATCTGCCATGTCCTCCCCCATGCCGACCCTCTTCCTCACTGGAGGGTGCTAGGCACTCGGTGTGACACAGAGGAAACCCCAACTGGGGGTTTCCAGGAGGATTGGCACGTGAATCAAATCCAGACTGTAGGTAGGGTAAGGGCAGGAAACCTGGGGCAGAGTCTGGTACAGGCAACAGTGTGGAAACTATGTGTACCGTCATCACACTATGGGTCATCCATAGAGCCCCTGGGGAGTGCCAACAGTTTGTGTGCTCCATTGCTATCTAAAAGGTTGGAGGTTTGAGTCCACTGATGCCTGGAGCCCTGGTGGCATGCTGGTTATCTGTTGGGCTACTAACTGCAGGGTCAGTCATTGGAAACCACCAGCTGCTCTGTGGGAGAAAGATGAGGCTTTACTCCCCAAAAGAATGAGTCTCGGAAGCCCACAGGGCAGTTCTGCCCTGTCCGATAGTCACTGTGAGTCAGCATCCACTGGCTTGATGTCACTGAGAGTGGACCGTGGTGCCTAAGAAGAATGACCTGGTGGCAGTCAGCTTTTGTCACCTGGGCCACCGAAAGCATGTGGGGCCCGTTCTCTGGCGCATATGGGACACCGTGCCTCCGCATTGACCTGAGTGGCTGTGAGTTGTTTGCAGCTGAAATTTAGGAGCAGGGAGTGAGAGAAAATTACAACATTGAATAACCTTGGTTGCTCATTTCTTCTTTAACTATTTCTTGAGCACTCCTGTGTTCCATGGATTATTGTAGATGCTAGGGAGTCCATGGGGAGCCAAGGAGTTTGAACTTCCTCCTGTATAAAATCCTTGGTGCCTCTATTCAGAGATTAAGCTGTGCTGAAAGCAGCAGTTCTCAACCTGCTAGTGCTGGGGAACTTTGGGGATCAATACTGAAGTGGTGATGCTACGATCAGGGAAGGGGTTGGAACCAGGCCTCCTGCTCAGCATCCTACACAGGACCCCCAAAACCAAACTCTCAGCCACCGAGTCGATGCTGGCTCATAGCAACCCTGTGAAACTGTGGGACTGCCCTGTGAGCCCCTGAGGCTGTTTATGGGAGTAGAGAGCTTTGTCTTTCTCCCTCGGAGTGGCTGCTGGATTTGAACTTCAGACCTTGCTCATCTCCCAGGCCAACTCTTAACCACGACACCACCAGGGCCCAGCCCCCACAATAAGGAAATATCCCACCCAGGAATGTAATGGTGTGAGTTTGAGAAACTTTGCCCTCAAGGATTACATGATAGTTGCTAGAAGGGTGGGTCTGGGACTAGGAGCAGAGGCTGGAGGGTATTGGAGGATGCCAGGTGAGGAGCGGAGTCTTAAGCTGATGGCTCTCTGGTGTGGTGGTTGGTTAGATCAGTCAGTCACGGTATTCACCTTTTTAACAAATGATTATGTCCTCAACTCTCTGGTGAACATTGTAGAACATGTCCTAAGTTTATACAAAGAATTTCCAAGTTTCCCAAAGTTTTTTAAAATTTTGCTCCGTTCATCTCTTTTCTCTCCCATTTTACTATAAGTAGCCAGGGGAAAGTAGCCAGCTCCTTTAAGGTCTTGCTTGGGCATCTCCTCAGCCACATCACAAGCCCTTCCAGGAAGCATTTGGACATAAGTCAGAGGTTCATTGCCACTGCATCAAAAGCGTCACCTTTCCTCCACTGCCCATATATACGGTCATTATTTTCTTTTAAAGGAATTGTCAGAAGCACATTTAATGTCCACATTTCTAGCAAGCTTCTCTTGCTGGGACCATAAGGCGTCTGAGACAGTGGTTCTCAACCTTCCTAATGCCTCCACCCTTTCATACAGCTCCTCACGTCACCACCAACCATAAAATTGTTTTCGTTGCCACTTCATCACTATTTTGCTACTGTTTTGAATCGTGCGACCCCCAAAGGGGGTCAACCACTGGTTGACGACAGT